ATAAAAGAAGAAAAAATTCCTAATGAGTTAACCACATACAACAGCTTCACTCTTCACACTGCACCCAATATCTACCTTCCCGAGTTCATACATGCAATACACTCTTACTACAGTCTACCTAGGAAGAGCTCAGGACTGCATCTCTAGATAACCCAACACAGTACTGTACTTCAATAATTCCCTGCAACTTTCAGAACAAAATCCAAGCTTTAATTCTGGTATTTACTCTAACAAAACTCAGCCCTAATTTAAGTCTCCTCACTCTAGTCCTCATTTAATTTCCACTACTCTTTTCTACATTTCTGCCATTCCAATTAACTTAACCTATACACAAAAGATTTTACTTTCAGTCTGCCACCACCACTGTTCCCACACTGCCTCACTTCCTTCTCTCAAAAGGCTCTCCACCTTCCCATTCACCTCATCAACCACCACCAAATGTTAGTGTCAACAAGTTTCAATTCTCAAGAAAACCCTACTAAACACTCCAGCTCAATATTTTTAATACTACCTGAGTGTTATCAGTTAGTGGTTCTTGTGCTCATAAAAACTAGAGCTGGGTGTGGTAGCATACACCTGTAATCCCAGCACTCGGGAGGCTGAGGCAGGAAGATCACCATGAGCTCAAGGCCAGTCTGGTTTACACAACAAGTTCATGGCCAGACTGCACTACATAGTGAGACCATGTCTAAAAAAAAAAGAAAAAAGCCCATATTCAGATGAACAAATTACCTTTCTCCTCTTATCCTTTCTTATTCTCTACAAGCTGCTTTGCTTATATGATAGTTCACTGTATCACAAAGAACACATCTTAAAGTATTAGCAGTTTTCTGGGCTGGGGATTTAGCTCAGCGGCACAGCGCCTGCCTGGCAAGCGTAAGGTCGTGAGTTTGATTCCTGGTACTGGAAAAAAAAAACAAAAAAAAGAGTATTAGCAGTTTTTTGCATGTTATACCCATCAGCATCAGAATATTTGGGTTTCAGGTTGGTAGATTAAGCAGGTCAGGTTCATAGAGGTTCAATATTATAACCTAGATCATCAAACTAACCTCAATCATGAGTAAAACCCACACCTATAGCCAAAAAATCTTTCACCCTTCAATTCATGGTCTCATTAGCATATGACATCAACACACAATCTTTTCTGTCTTTAGTCACACATGTCACATGCAGAGTTAATGCCTGTCACAACGGTGGTATCACTGGAACAGTAGTAGTAGCATCAATAGTAGAGGAGTAGGTACAGTCAATTTCAGAGTAATCTCTACCTGTCTTAGGTTTGGAATTATTTTTCAAAAATGTATTTATCTGCTAAGTGACAACTGTATCAAAGTGACACAAAGAACTATGGCTTATATTTGAATGTTTAAATACACTTGAAATGAGCAATCATCCCCCAGATGTTGACATCAGTAATGGCATGTAGCAGTCACCTGTAAAGTACTCCTTTCCACTCACCTCAGAATAAGTCACCTCCCTGATAAACTACTGGGCCTACGCTGATTTAAAACTAATGCAAAACTATGTTCCTCACTGGAACCACTTTGCAATATTATGCCTCTATATAATCCTATCTTTCAATCAGAAATGTTACTTCCTCTTGAATAGTTACTAAAAATGTTAATAGTTAAAAAATAGCAACAGCACTATTAACTATACCATGAAGTTATTTGTACTATATTGAAAGAACTGAGACTAACCTTTAGTTACAAAGATGTTTAAGTGAATGAGTTGAAATCTTCTAAAAACACCTCTGCTCTACCAGCCTCTTAATTACCAAAGAGTTTGTTTTTACCATTTTAAAAAGTATTCTCACACTCTAGCTCAAAAAATTAAAGACTAGTACTATTCATGTCCAATAAGCCACAACATTAGCAAAAATCTATTTGCATTTTATGTTCACAACCAGAGGCAAAAGCATACATGGTGGGGGGGTTCCTCCCCCACCTCCCAATGACAAGAGCTGGCACATCACAGATTCTCCCTCTAAACCGCAACAGCCCTGCTTCATCACATGATTAGCTTGCCAGACCTGGTCTCTGCATATGTACAATGAAGACACCCTCACTCTCAAGTTCCCACAACCCTGAAATAATACAATCCTCTGATTTTTTTCTTTTTTGGAGACAGGGTTTCACTATGTAGTTCAGGCTGGCTTTGAACTCACTCTGCAGCCCAGGCAGGCCTTGAACTCAGTGATCCCTCTACCTCAGCCTCCTTCAGGGCTGGGATTATAGGCATGCGCCACCACACCTGGCTTAATATTATTTTTATTCTTCCCTACAGTCAGACATTTGTAAAGAAATGTTTCCCTTGTACTTTTTTACCTATCTTTTCAAATACTACTTATAGGGCAATTCTGAGACTCCATAAATTATGACCTTGAAAGTTTACCCAAAAGTTTCAATTAAAAAAATGCTATTCTGAGCCTGGTGTGGTGGTGCACATCTGTAATCCCAGAGCTCAGGAGGCTGAGGCAGGAGTATCCTTGCAAAAGTTCGAGGGCCAGGTATCCAGCTCAGTGGCATAAGCGCCTGCCTGGCAAGGGCAAGATCCTGAGTTCGATTCCTGGTACTAAAAAAAAAAGCAAAAGTTCGAGACTAGCCTGGGCTACAAAGTGAGCTCAAGGCCAGACTAAAACGCATAGGGAGACCCTGTCCCAACAAGCCCCATCCCCCCAAAATGCTAGTCTGTTTTTTATCATGCATTTTCCTAGTGCTACCCTTAAATTGTAATATATGCCTGGGGTGTTTCTTTGTTTTGCTTTGTTTTTTCATAGAAGTAGCTTAAAGGTTAGGGCTCCACCAAAACCTACTACTGACCAGGTGTTCACACCCAGGCTTTACAGTTTGTTCTACACTAAAGCTAAAATCAAGGTTCTCACTAAATACCTGCTACTCTCCCAATTCTAGGGTCAAAAAGACAGGATTTCAGAAACCATCCTCATCCTCAGCATCAGCTCTCAAGACACTTCAAGGCAGCTCACACCCATTACATGTCTCCCTTCACAGACACACGTGTGAAGACACACAAACACACATGCACCACGGGCATTTAACTGTGGGTATTTTAGTGTTGTTTCTGACACTCTGAAAATGATTCAGAACACCCCAGACAAAACTGTACTTATCATACATAATGGGACAGAAATGTTACCACAAACTGATTCATATCACCAGCCTCAAAATAAAGTTCAATAAGGGTTAGAATCAATGTAGGAAGCAACCCTATAAACATCAACAAGATTTTGATTTTGTGTAGATTTGATAGGACTGCTCTTTGCAAAGTAATGTTTCTGCTTCAGAAAGCTGAAAACATGGTGAAAATATTAAATACAGTCCTCAGCTTGCTAATTGTAAGAATCTTCAGCAAGCTACTTTAAAAAAAAAAAATCACTGCAAATTTTGAATAGTTATTGCTAAATCTGAGCAGATTCCTTTTAGTAACCAAAGTTATATTTCAGTTAACTAAAATTTGAATTTATCTGTCTTCTAAGTAATACCACTGTTTCAAAATTAAAGATACACCTGTTTTAAAAACTGTTATCTGTGCTAAGTGACAATCCCGCACATATAACTGTTATACTAGGCTTTCTTCTAAATTAAGACTATGCAAATGGTCCTTATTTAAGTGAACACACCAAAGCAGCACTTGGGAATAAGGACTTTTTTGTATTTTTTGTTTTATACATAATACAAGATTTATATGTTGACTTCTACAGGTAAATGACTAAGAAAAAAGCTTTTAATTCTGTAAATGCCAAAACTTTCAAAAGCTGAAATGAGCACTGCTAGTTTTTCTGTATTTTATCAACTAATGTATTTCAGCATAAGGACTGGCTAAAAACTGTACTGCTTAAGTAAATCAATTTTATCTAATTCCCACTTATTAAGAGTAGTGAAGTTAAAAAAAAAATAGTAGTAAAGTAAAATTAAGATAAAGTATCTTGAGGGCAGGTACTACCAATACTATAAAGATTTCTTTTAAAAGCTATTTGAAAAAGCTCTATGTACCTTTTTCTCTAAGTATCATTACACAATTGCTTAATTTCTTCAAAGTATTAGTATTTCTAAAGTCACCTCCAAATTTTTATCTCAAAAAAAAAATCACAAGCACATCCCATTTTTAGGGAAACTAAAAGTCAAAAAAAGTGTTACTCTGTTTTCTGTTTATTAATTCAAGAAACATCTCAGAAGGTCCACATGCCAAGGCTAAGGTGAGTATCTTCAAGGAAGGAATTCTAACAGGGTTGTCAAAAATACGTAGATAATGATACTCCAATATTAAGTGCAGTAATAACTACATAGAAAGTAACACCTAACCCAGGGATGGTACTTTTAGACCATTTCTTAACACACTCATAGTAACAAACTATACTGACCATTATACATTTAATGTTTACTTTGCTTTTCTGTAAAATGAAAATAATACTGTAATAATAGTTTTTCTGCAGAACGTTACAATGCAGTAAGGAATTTTACATCAAATAGTCTGGCTGCTCCAGGCCCCCAATCTCAAAGACCAACCTCTAACAAGGGTAGGCGCAGTCCCCAGTTCTCATTAAGAGGAAAAAAAGGTCACTGCACTTTAAATTCGCACTCCTTCTCAGATAAGAGTGAAAGAAAATAATGAAATTTTGTGAGCCAAATAAATTAAAATTGGCTTATAACGTTAAGTATGACTTCCTGGCATGGGCCTACTCACCATCCTCCATATCTGGGCCTCAAAATAGGATTTTAGACATTTCCACAATTGAAGCGGCAGAAAATTGCCGCTTTTTATCAGCAAAACCCAACTATGTCACAGCATTTCTGAGAACACATTTTTTGCTTAAAATGCATTATCAAACAAATACATAAAACAAATTCTTATTAGCTACTTTGAGTTTTTCATGAAAATTACACTACAGTTCCAGTTTATAAAAATCTATTTCTATGATCACACTAGCATAACTGACTCTCTTAATATCAAAAACAAAAAAATGTAAGAAAAAAACTTACGTGTGAGTATACTGGCCTCAAAAGAGAAGCAACTGAATGCTTCAGCAAGGCCAGGTCAAAGCAGAAGCCTTATTATACTTCATTTCTTTCATCATAGCAATTTAACTGCCTTAAAAAGGAAAACAAAATCACTTGTTTCAGCTCTAGGACGGTGAAAACAATGCAATAACAAAAATTAAAAATTCAAATATGGGATGAGGGTATAGCTCAGTGTGCTTGCCTAGCACTAAGGCTCCAGGTTTAATCTCCAGCACTGCAAAACCAAATTTAAAAAAAAGTCAAACAAGCTCGTTTAGCTCGATATTCTCAGTTAAGGTGTTCATACTAAACACACTGGCAAATGAGGTTGATAAAGATACCTATTTCTAGTAACTCAATTGTGGTCATATCCTAGAAAGTACAGCTTGTCTATAAAACATGTTAATGGGATAAAGTTCAAGCACATAGGATGAGTGCTACACAATCATGATCTTTCCCATTACTGCCTAATATAGCAGGTGACACCTGGGGAAGAGGACAATGGAAAAAAGGTGGAGATAAACAGCCTTCTATCATTACAACTAATTCAAGGGCTTATGTACAAGAGCAAAATCTTTGCTCCTAAAGAACAGATTGGTTACTTCACCTTAAATAAAATCTGTTTGTCACAGGTATTGATTACTGTCAACAATGATGCCATCTTCTGATAAAAGTTAAATTTCTAAGCAACTATATAAAATCTTCTCAAGTCACATTTTTTAAAAAAATCTTTTGTTGACAAGCAAGGTATCTCAAAAAGAAAAAAAAAAATGTACAAGAAAACCAGGTATAGCACATTCAACAATGAAAGCATAATTCCAGAACTTGGGAGGCTGAAGCAGGAGGATTCCATGAGTTCAAGGCAAATCTGGGCTACACAGTGAGTTCAAGGACAGCGTGAACTACATAGCAAGATCCTGTCTCAAACAAAAGACATGAGCAATAATGAAGGTATACAAAATAGACATTAACATGTTAAGCCATTAATAAAGCAAGTTTTAATTTGAAATATTTTTGCCCAAATATTTAATGGAGAGGCAAAATTTCTAGCCAAAAACATATAATCAGAACATGAAAATGCTTTCTTTCCAAACCATTTATACACAGTTTGATCTAAACCACACAATAACTGTTCTGAAATCCACAATAAAAAAATGTATGCATATTGCCCTTCCTCACATTTTCCATTTTCACACAATCTTTAACCTCCCCTCTACCAAAAGAAACAGAGAAAACTGAAAATCTATTTTAAAATACATCTCATTCTCCATTTTCTATTTGGGATTTTTATTTCAAACCGATTTTATTCCTCACCTCTAACTGCAAAATTTTGTGAAAACACAATCTGCACTCAACTACTGTTGTTTACGTTTTATTTTCATGACAAAGAAAGGCCTTCAAAAAAACACTGTGCTAGTAAGTCTTTGTGTAGCTTTCAGCCGGATGGTTCCAGGGTTCAGTTAAAAACTTGCTAAAGAGAAGAGAGTAGTTTAAAACGCAGATTTTTATCTGTAATCTTGTAATCATCTCTAACTTCAATAAAAGGTAACATTTTCAAGTGAAGTTACTTTCTTTAATAATTGGCTCAACCTATAATGTATTCTAGACTTCAAAAACAATCATGCTGAAGACTTGGGAGATAAGACAGCTCCTTCCGACAAAACTCTAACAACGAAATAGAAAAATTAGCTATGAAAAATATAAACTAAAGATTAATTTTCACTAGTCATGAAATTAAAATTCTCATTCTAAAGCATTCAAATTGTAATCAAGTAGAGAAACCCAGCAAGCTTAATTCCCAAATCTGTAAACTAGCCAAATAAAAATTCTCAAATTGACAGGAAAATTCTTTAAAAGCTTATTAACTGTATTGTAAAACGAAATTCCTACAGTCTCATTCAAAATTCCTAATTATCACAGAACATGTCTACTCTCAATATTTTCATTAAACTAATCACTAACGTAAAACTCAGGGTTTCATCTGATTTGTAAGTAAATTTTTCCAACAGACAAAGGAAAATGTAATTCCTAACCACAAACAGAAGCCAAGATTAATTTGTTTTGGACAGTGACAGGCCAAAAAGGTTTGGTGAAGCACAAATTTCACAATTAAATTTCAGGATTAAATCATCCAGCAAAAAAAAAAAAGTGATGCACTTAAAAAAACAGTATTTTTCTTAAGTCAAATTACATTTATTAAAAGGCTAACAATTACAGGAAGCAGCTTATTCCACACGAAGAAACAGCTCCTTTTCCTGCATGTATGTACTGGTCTGATAAAAAACAATCAAACTTCCTAGTGGCTCCATTTTAAACAAGCTAGCTACCAAACCCAAGCAACTCTCTACACGGCGGTGGGTGGGTGGGGTGTGTGTGTGTGTGTGTGTGAAGGCTGAAAGTAAAGAGAGACCAAGAGGAGAGATGAAGTAAACTACTTTAAAAAGGGAACCATCATTTAGAACATATGCTAGTAAACTAGTGGTCTTCTACATCTGCAACTCAAAGAATCTTTTCCCAAAAACACACAAATAAACCTTTGCTAGAAATAACAACATATGTAATTGAAATTTCTAGATTCGAACAATTAAAAATTACTAAAGCCAAAGGCTATAAACTTAGCAGGAAATAAACTCCAAATTTAGGTTTCAGATTAACTGTTACAAAAGCACAAGTAAGAAACCTTTTTAAAAATGATCAAAGAAACAAAATCTTTAAAAAAATTTTTATGCAATCTACGGCATTTGTTAGAATTTAACATTTTGAAGATGCAATTTAATTTTGGTTAACTTTACATACTGCCGTGATCTATTTAAAGGACATAAGAGATTTCTTCTAAACTGTACTTTGAAAAAAAATCTTTCATTAAAAATTCTTATTACTAAAACTAACCAAGATACTGCAAGAAGAAAACAATGGTTTATAAAGTGTTTACAACACTTAAATAGACACAGTGACAGATGAGATGATCTATAACTTCACTTCTAACTAAAATAGGTCAGATTACTGAAAAATATTACGTTTTGTTTCAAATATTTCCATAGTTAAAAATAACTGGCGCCCCCTAGCGGTCACATCTGGAAATATCCAAATTTAAGAGTTCCAGTTCTTTTTTTTTTTTTTTTTTTTTTTTGACATTCCAGAAAGTTTTCTGCCTCCACAATCTTTCAAATGCCAACACAAATAGGAAAAGCAGAACCCCTTAAAGAGACAGCTCAAGTTTTTTCTCTGCAGCAATTTGAGATTAACAGATATGCTAATCCAACACTGTAAAATGCCTACTTCGGTTTGGGTTGCTGCCGTATGTTGAAGAAGCTTAAGCAAAACACCCTAGAAGCAATAATACCTGTTTCCTACTTTAAAGCTGCGTCTTTGACTTTTAAGTCAACAAAAGCTGCTGGGATTCTTTAAGCATCTTTTATCACGGAGATATTTCCGGTCTTTTGTTCTTTCCTATCTCCCAACTCCCTAAGCTTCACTTCTTTTCCCCAGCTCTATTTGAAAAAGCTCAGAACTCTGAAAAAAATCTAAAATCTACTGTTCATCTTTGTAACTGTTTTCAGCTTTCTTTTAACAGCCCTCCGGAGATGCTTTTTTTACAAAATGACTCCTTTTTACTCGATTTCCAAAACAGACTTTTGTTGGTCCGGTCGGGCCCCGGCACCGCGAGGCCCCCAGCTGCAGGCAGCAGCACTCCGGGCCGCGGCCGCGAGAACTTGGCGGAGCGGCGGAGCGACCGCACGCAGCGCCGGCCTC